GATATTAACATTATTGAGTACAAGATCCTTATGTAAATAATACTAAATACCTAAAGTTAAACACCCTTTACGGAGTCAGATATGAAAACTCTATTCAAATTATTCAAATGAAAATTATCCCTGTGACATGGTCATACAAATATAGAGGAAAATCAGAGACTCTAATACATAGAACTTATATAAGTTTCACAGTATTGAAGACTAATCTCATTCTTAATTTTTATTATTCACCTTAAAATGAAGTAAAACTGCTGCTACTTCTCTCATTCTGGAAATTTCACCTCTTTTTTGAGCACTGGTAAACTCCTGAATCAGTTGGCATTCTAAATCATGGTATTTACCTAGAGAAAGAGAAAGTCATTCAGCTATAACAAGACAGAAAAGGTATCCAAGTTTTTTTACTAGTATATGAATTACTTACAAATATAATAACTATGGAGCTAGCCTTTTTTGAAAGAATTATAAAAACAATATGAGATTACAGGCAGTTGATCTAGGCCCCATAATATAGTGTAGTATATAAAACTATATTTTCAAGACAAAAATTCTGAACTGGTAAAACAGCTGAGTTCTAATAGTCTGACTGCCATTTACCACTGTTACTTAAAAAAGCAGCTGACTAGGAAAAACTTTCCAGATGTCATTTCTGATAGCAAAAGAAAAATCTTTATACTGAAACTATGAAAAGAGTGAAGAGGATCTAGAACAAGCCTTTACCATGAACAATGGTGGATTCAACACCAAATTTCACCATAATATATGGTATTTGATTCACTATATTCTTGATGCTTTTATAGTTCAGAATGAACACCTGAACTTTGAACTGATCTATATGATCCAAAACATTGCCTACTATCTATATCTAATATCTATATCATCCTTATCCTAACACTTTAGGGAAAATAGGTGGTTGTTTGAGCCTTCTATGTAATGCCTCCCAAAGTGACTCAGACTGTCACGGGAACCTGCAAATACAGTGGCTATTCCAGAAACCTAGAATGATCTGCCTGAAATATATTACAAAGATTAGCAATAACCAAACTACTCATATAAGGAGTTAAATAGATACTGAAATGCCCTTATGAGCTTAGCTTCTCAGAAAAAGAACCTATTAAGAGACATATGTATGGATACAAAACAATCTTCAAGGTACACTGTTAAATTAAAAACACAAGGTATAAAGCTATTTGCATAGTATGCTACCAATTATTTTAAAATAAATGGGGATAGAACTAAATTCTACACAGATATATATGATTTATGTCCTACGTTTGTATAACTATAGAATACTCCAGAAAAATACACAAGAAACTGACAATGGGCATTTCAAGAAGAGGAATAAGACTCAGGGATGATGAGGCAGGAGGATTAATTGTTCCCACTATCTCTCCTTTTACTACTTTTTTTTTCCTTTTGTAGAAGTAGTTTGATTACCTATACAAAAAAATGAATAAATAGAACTCCACTTACTTGCAATTTTGGACTTTACTTCTGAAAATCTGAAAGATAAAAACTAATGATGAGCTTTATTACCTATGACTCAAGTAACAAAGTAAAAAAACTGAGTTTGGGGCATATAAGGCAACCTTTTGTAGTAAAGGTGGTCATGAAAAAGGAAAGAAGAAGTCAGACGAGAGAGAGTGCTGGCAAGAGGCATGTCAGGTGACAAAACTGAATATGGACAATTCAGATGGAGTAGCTGGTTCTCATTTAGGAAATTCACATTGAGTAACCAATTCCCTTGTTAAAGAGGGAAGATTTCTGTATGAGGCATTAACAACCCAGCTAGCTGCAACACTGAGTTACTATCTCTACTCATACTCACTGGCATTTTAAATTCACTTGATAATTGTCTACTTCTCCCTTCTTTTGGGACTTTATCATATATAGTTCTATTACTGTTATTTAAAAGAAAAGCAATGATAAAATAAGTATAAGTTTGAATTATATACTAATGATTTTATACAAGTATTTTAAAACTAGAAAAAAGTAAAACAGGAGCAACAAAAAGGACCCAGAAATGTACCTAGCAGAGTAACGATTTAATCTTTGCAAATTCATAAACTAAAATGTCACATGCCTTAAATATCAAAGGGGAATGCACATCATGGAAAATTAATGTTGAAGATCCTATGCAATCAGTTTGAATAGAGAGGAAAGTGACTAACAAAAGAGGTGCCTAAGACAGATGAGGAAGACAATAAAAATTTAGAAGAGTTATACAAAATTGATATATCAAAGTCATGGTGCATGTAAGATCATACTAACCTTTGTGAAAAAATTAAATCTGATATTTAGGATATCTATCAAACTGCAAAGTTTGGTAGAGAGGTAAAAAACAAAACTGTAAGAGAAGTATGTAATTGAGAAGTGGGAGAAGATGAGCATATGCATGTGTGTTTTGTTAAAGAAGAACAGGATGGAGAGAGAGTTGGAAGATGCAGCCAATAATTATTATGTTGTAAGCCACACATTTTACCCATTAAAGTAAATGGTCTAACTCTGAAATGAGATAAAGTTAAAGAGCTTTTTGTGAGTGACTTTAAAAATCATTACTCATAATGCTGGGCAAGTATGAGATTATTAGTATAGCTAAATGATAAATGATCGTTACTACTAAGTCTTTACGATAATATAGAGTTGAGAGTAAAATAAGATAAATTTGTGGGGTAGGGAATTCACTCTCACTCTATGTCTGGGACATAACGGTAAAGCTTTAAGTACAGCAACACATTTTTATTCTACCTGTGTCTGAGGATCTTTAAGTATTACCAAAAGAATAACAGATACATTGTCTGCTATATGGGAAGATATATTTCTTTTGGATATTCACATGGGGGAACTACTACTACCAAGATTTTATTCAAGAGTCTGACACTCCATGGACTTAAGTAAATCACGAAAAAATTTCCTTCTCATTGAAATTTCTTTTAGAATGAAACCACTTACACCTGACTTAGCAATGGTGTTAGGGCATTGAATCTAAAGCAGGGATTCTTAACCTGAAATCCCTACTAGAGAGGAGTCTGTCCATAGGCTAAAGAGTCTAAAACTCCATGAAATTATACACAACAATCTGTCTATTCTGAAATTTTTGAAGAAACTGTACAGGTTTCAAAGGTGTCCAACACCCCAAAAAGCTTAAGAACTATCATCTAGAGCTAGTAATGAGAAGCTGAATGGCCCGTGCTTAAATATTCCCTTTCCCCTCCCATCCAGTTTACCAAAATCCAAAAAATTCAAAATTCAAAAATCTCACTTTAGTCAAGTTCAAAATTCTTTCAGTACATTTTTTATTAAAAAGAAAATCAAAGAATCGAAATTATTTCAAGGTATAACATTAAATTTTGATATTAAGAGACTGTATTTTTCAATCAGCTATTATATACTGTACCTAATAAAAAGGAGGTATAAATACTCATTGAATTAATGAGAAAATCATACAAGGAAAGATATTAATTTATTCTATAAGTTAAACCATATATTCAAATTAGCTATTGAGAAATAAACTTGCCTATCAAAAGGTAACTCCTGGGCGATTAGGTGCAACTTCTGAATGATGTCTGCTGCCTCCTTTATCTATTAAAAAGTAAATAAAAGCAATAATTTTTAAAAAACCTTATGCAAAGGAAAAAATTTTGTATTTGAAAATAGTAATATTCTTCTATGTATGCCCACAGAACTTCACCCAAACAATTCTCCCTTGAAGTCCAATACAAACAAAACCTTGTGAGCATGAGGAATACATGTGGGATATCACCAATAATGAGTGAATAAGACAAAAACATTTTATCGTTCTGGTACTGAAATCTTGGGATTTTATAATGCCACACACCTTTGCCAATGAAACCTATAGTTCATGTTTACTTTGAAAAAAACTGAAATCATTGCTTGCTGAAAGCAGAAGTGTAAGTCTGTTTTGAATTTATGAACCCAAAAAGGATAAACAAGTCATGAAAACAATTCAGATCATACTGCTGCATATATCCCACCTTAAGCTCAGTGAATAAAACAGCAAAAATGCCATGTAGTGAACACATAAATTTGTAAAACTTGTTCTAAAAGCAAAGATAAAGTTTAATATAAAGTCTCCTGAATGAAATATGGTACAGAAATGTATGTACTTGTCATGTTGTGGAACTAAGGGACTTAGGCAAGGGGTCTAAGGTTCTTAAAATGGAGATATTTGACTAGTAAGGGAATTATAAAATGTTCACTTTTTCTTTAATTTCAAATAAGCCTGAGTTTCATTTTGGCATACCTTTAGTAATTGGTTTTATGATCATTCACTTTCTTTTATTCTAAATATTTTAAAAGACTCTTAAAAACATGCAAGAAGAGCTGAGAACATGAATACAGATCTTTCTAAGTACTCATGTGAAGTCTGGCAAGCAGCTGTGAATAACAACAGCAGGGCCAAATGATATAATCTGGGTAGTGAATGTAGCATTTCTGCTTCAGTCCATCCTTTTCTCCTCACCAATACACACCTTCAGAAAGGGCCTGCCTGGTACATAGCTGGCTCTTTATTTCCATCAGGAGTTTGTTCTTGTCCTTTTACATGAGGGAAGTCCCTGCTATGTGCTGTTTGCAAACTTTACTTTGAGGTATAAAAGTAAGTAATGGTTGATTTTATTTAATTCCCATAGGTAATTATTTTGTAAAAATTGTTTAAAGCAAAAGGTCACCCATCAGTTAAAATATACTACAGCAATAAATATACAAGTTGTCAAAACTACAATCTAACAATTGGCTTACATCTGTTACTGATATTAGGGTAAAGTTGAGAGATCACCCATGCCAATAAACAGTGTTAAAAATAATCAGTCACTAGGTATTACTTCCATGAAGAACAGTAAGCTGAAATTCTAGGAAAAAAAACTAACATAGTAATGACAGAGGTGAGAAAGAATATATAATATGGATATTAAATGGGCTTTTTCCAACAGAAGAAAATTAGAAGATTCTGAAAATCAAATATTTAAAAAACAAAAATGACTATAGAGCAGGAAGAAAAAGAAGACAGATGTGTTGACATCTTCTTTCTAATTCCTTCTACAATCACACACCTCTCTAGCTATGTGTGTGATTTTCCTCTTCTTTCTAAGGTGCCTAGCACAGAGTGCAGAAACTGAGATAGCCAGAAGTTCATCTGATAATCAGTGATCTAATACCATATATGAGCTCTTAAGTGTAGTTAACTGTTAATAGTACCATGCCAAAAATAATGATTCACAAATAGCAAACAGTAACCCAAAACTTATAGGAGACATGAGAGCAAAAACAATTAGAAAAGAGGAATAAAGTATACGAAAAAAGAAATACACAAGAGGAAAGAAAACAGGATACAAAAGAGAGTGAAGCAAAGGAAAGAAGAGACTAACACTGTTAGTCTATACTTGCTCCTCAAAACTTAATTAGCTGAGTGCCAAGTCAATGAACTCGAGAATATTAATAATTTTCTTTCAATTCAAACCTCAAAAATTAAGAGACAACAATGACACCAAGAACTACATAATTACTTGAGGATACTTAAAATGTTTAGGTTAAAAATATGTGTAATCAGTCAATTTAAAAATATTTTTCTCTAAATGGCTGTCTTGAGCTATATTCAAATGAACAGCCCAACTCACATTGGGTAAAATATCTGCATTTCGTTTGTAACAGAGCATAAATATACTATACAATACAACAAGTATAATCCAAGGTAATCCAGGTATAAGATTTGAGTTATATACAATTTTTAATATTTAAAACATATTTTATAATATATCTAGGTATGTAGTTTTATATTACAAATATATATGTTTATTTTTAGGAAACATAAAATAAAAGCATTCCATAAACTATCCTGAAAAACAAATGCAGTGTTCAAGCCTTTTGTGTGTTTCTTACATATAAAAAAAACATAAATTACAAAAGCTAGATATTACCAGTGTTTTACAAGTGTTTAAGTACATTAGTAACATCCTGGATGTTAATTTTATCTGTTCTACTTTGTATTACTAATATAATTTCTGAAACTCATTATTTAAAATATTGTCTTTTCTTTAGCAGAATTATCTATATCTATATATATATATATGCAACCATTTTTTCCAAGATCTCTAAAAATCATAAATTCTATAAACCTATATGGTTTCTACTCACAAAAAATATGTTGCTTGATTCAAAATGAACTTCAACAATACTAAGCTTTTAACATTCTACTGAGATAATCCATGGAGTAAACTTGGAATAATCCAGGAAGACTGTACTCAACATATTAGTGGATAATATTACCACATGCATATACTATCCATATGAATGTCTATTTTTTCAGGCATTTTCATTTGTTTTTCCCTTTGAGGGGAAAAAAGTGAGACAAATAATCTTTATAAAGATAAGAGAGCAGCCAATGCCATGTAAGCAACTAGTGCTATGAAAAGGATTAACATGAACAATTAATTCAGATTTTCAATTCTTTGCTCCAAACTATGCTGTCTTTATGAGATCTTGTATTCAAATAATAAAAACTAGATGCTCTGAATTCCTTATATAGAAAGATACTTTAGTTTATCAGTAATTTAGGTCAGACCACCCCCTCACCCAGTAGAATATAACCATTAAATTCTGTTAATATTAAAAGTCAATTATGGACAAGAAATACTTATTAACATAGTTACGTCAGCATTTCTAAACCATACATAATTTCATGAACAAAAATGCTAGAAAATCCAATTGAAATTTTGAATATAAGTACTTCATCAGCAATCTGCATGCAAGTGTACTAATTTGCATTTCAGAACAAAAAAAATCTTTTAATAAATCAGCTACTTGGTTATTTGAATTGAAGCCTGACTCTGGACTACAGTAATTGCAGTTCATAATTAAGGCACTGTTATTAATGCTGTAATTTGCTTTTAACATTCTGACAGTGCTCACCTTTTCAGAATTTATAAAAACATCAGACTTCAATTCTCCATCTAGAAATTCATTAAAGTATTTCATCAGTTTCTGAGCCTCCACTGCCCGTTGTCTGGGTGTGTTTACCCCCTCCAGCTGGTCTCCAAGGTGACAGACCTTGGTTGCTACATAGCTGATGTGCTCATCTAGTTCTTGAAAATGTTGGAAGGCAACCTAGAAAAATGTGCATAAGTATTATATACAATCAGAGAACCCGTTTATAAGTTAATTCAAATCAAAACTAAATCACCAATCTCATCACTACCTTTTAACTTAGGTAACAAAAATCATGTTATTTATGACATAATCTACAAAGACAATTCATTTACATTAGCAACACAAGATCTAAAAACTTTTTAACCAAGTTGCAGACTTTTTATACCTTTAACTATTAAAATAATCATATTTTATCATGAATACATGTGTTAATCAACAAAACAGCAAGGCTACTTACTAGTCATTCTGTTTAACAAGGTTGCCAGCAACATTTAATCCTAAATACTAATTCTGAAAACAATGAACTAAATATCAAAGTGACCAGTCCTCTGAACAAAACTCACTTGCTACTGCACTAAAATGAGCCAAAGGTATGTCAGAAGTAAGACACTAATTAAAAAGTGTTTAATTAGTAAATAAATAGCATTTAACATTTATAGTAATTATTTGAGGAGCAATGCTAGTATTATAAATAAGGTAAAATGGCTCATGCCCAGTTTTAGAAACATAAAAAACTGTAACAATTATTCTACAGAAGCAAAGGTACATAACTTCCTAGAAAATCCTTCCCCTTTCCCCAGGGTACACTGATTGGCCTGTAGTAGATGAAAATTATGTACAAAAAATGCCTTAGAATTGCCAATAAGAAAATTACTGGCAATTCAATATGGTATTTTTGTCCCAACCTTAAATTGAGGGAAAAAAGCTGCAAACATTCACTATGTATTTCTTCTGTGCAAGACACTGTTCTAAGCATATTACATATATCTACCTATGTAAGCCTTACAACAGCCTATGTTACAGATGAAAAAACTGAGGCACAGAGAGGTTAGGTTACTTGAGATTACAGTTAATAAGTGAAAGAGCAGTTTGGCTCCAGAACTTGTTAGATTAAATACTAATACTATTATTATAATTATTATCATAATTACCAATAATTAAGGAAAACTGCATTATGTGTAGTTGGAATCTATCACCTTAACTACTTTAAAACACATCCTATCATATGTAAATCATTGTTTGTATTAACTATTTTTTCATAGCCATTTATGCTCAAGGGATGGTATCTAAACAAATGGTATCTGAGCAGAGATCACCTTACAATCCCTAACATTAAAGAACAGCCCCTGGGAAGCAGCAATGCTAAACAATGCTGCTTAATTACTCTTATAAAGGACAACCATATTTCAGATCAGGCCCAGACTGACAAAGGGGTTCAGAGGTTCTAAATTAAGTCTAGGGCCTAAGAAAGGCTAAGAAGCTTGGTCTACCTATACCAGGGCCAGTCTGGTGACTTGGTTTTACTCCAAAATGAACTGAGAAAGAGTTCTTCATTGGTTTTTCTTTCCCACAGTTATACTAGAATTCTCATTGAGGCACACACCTCATAATTGTTGTAATAATTTCCCAGACCAGGTTTCCCCTAGGGAAGGAAGAGTTGAGCTGATATTATTTTATTTTATGATTAAATGAGAATGCAAATGACTATGTAAACATTCAAGTTAATAATAACCTCCTAAAATTACATGGGTGCTGAAGTGTCATTCTTGTAAGTTTGCATTGTTAGAGGAAAAGCAAGGACTACACTGTACTGGATACTACTCCATCCTGAAAAGGGAATACTATGAACCCAAACCAACATTCAATAGCGAGCCAGTGCCAAGAATGCCTGATAACAATTCATTAACATTTTATCCCACAGGGATGGAAGTAGTAAAGAGAAACCTCAACAGTTATTATTATTTGACTAGACCTTTTTAAGAACCTAAAATTGCAATGTAAAGATATTTTAGCCTATATAAATTATTCATTGCTTAGCTAAATGTTTACCTGATTGCTTTTCTGGAGCTCTTGTACCTTCTTGGCAAATTCCTTGGCTTCTTTCTGACACTGTTGCTCTAGCTTTTCTACTTTTCTTTGAATCTTTTCATCCATTATCTGGAGTTCTTGAATATGATTTACAAATTCTTCTAATAACCTGATAAAGGAAAATTACAATATATATATCAATACATCTATGATCAATCGTCAGGAACTGAGCAGTTCAATTACAATGTAAATAAAGTATTAATGTGCATTCCTTGAGGTAGGGATGCTTGTGTTAATTTTCTCTAGTGTCTTGTTAGGGATTATCTCTGATGTGAATGAAAGCCTTACCCAAAAGCACTATTAACCCCCAGAATAGAAACCAACTTTATAAAAATACTCAAAAAGGTAAATGTATTTTAAAAAGCTATTCTGCATTCCAGGGTACAGTGGCTTTCTGTTACCCTGATTTACAACTATACATAAAACATGCTTTTATTTTAGAGGTATAACCAACCCTTTCCAATTTATTACTAATTGGAGAAAATATTAAGCTCTTATAACACAATAAAATCCCCTCCCTGATAGCAGTTAAAATCCTTCTCTAAAACAAAAGGAATAAAAAAGAAAAAAGAAAAAATATTAATCCCAAACCTCTAATGCTTTTTTTAATTGGCCAATTGTTAATTAAAACCCCTTTACATGAATGTTAAAAGGAATTCCAACAGTCACTTCTAAACAGAAATTTATACTAGATCGGGTCTATGAAAAAAATTTTTACTTCACCTTTTAGGATCAAAAGCTTCAGGTCCCCCTCTAGAACCTCCTCCTGGGGTTCTCCATACAAGACGTTCAATATATTCATCTGCCACAAAAGGCTCCTAGTTTATAAAATAAACATTCTTTAAAAGGTTTCTTGGAAGATAACTTAGTATTTAAAAAAATGAAACAGGTGCTACTATGTGACAACTTAAAATGGAATTAAATTATTAATTATTTAAATACATCTATATTATTAAAATGTGCAAGATTTTTTCCATTTAAAAAATCTTCAATAAACAAATCACTTAATGAAAATTAGGATATTAAAGTATTAGAACAGTATTATGACCAGTTAGAATATTTCCAATGGAAAAATTACGCAATTTATAGAATAAATACAAGTGGCCAAAAAACATGAAATATATGTGGCATCACTAGTAATCAAATAAGGACCAATTATCTTACATAGCTTTTTTGTTTTGTAATTATAATATGCAATACAGGAGTGGATAAGGCCAAAATTCACACTCGTGTTAGAAATGTTAACAGGTACAACATTTTTGGAGGACAAAAGGTAATAATTTGGTAACATTAACAGTATTATAAATGCTTATACTCTTTCCCCAAGTAATTCTACTTTTAAAATTCTAAGGGAAAAGCAAATGAACACATTTTGCAGAATATTTCCTAAGTGCTATGTGTAAAACTGAAAAATTGCTTACAGATATATTCAACAAATCATTATTGAAAAATTATGGCAAACTTATAGGATGAATAACTATGCTCCTATTAAAATCATGTTGTAAAAAAATTTAAATGCGAAAAATGTTCACATATAATATCTGATGAAAAAAGTAGGATACATAATTTTCTAAGTTTTCTCAGAAAAGAACATTATTAAAAAAAGAATATTTGAGTAGAAAATAAACTTTTACTATCATTTAATAATACTGATACTTTTTAAGACCAATACATAGAATTTACATATTTTCCATGTTACCTTCTTTTATGCAAATGGTATTATACATTGCCTCCCACTTAGCATGTAATATTTGCTGGTTATTCCAGTTTCAATTCTTCTATCTATAAAATTGGCTATTTGTTAATCATATTTTTAAAACATTTTTATTAATAAAAATTAATTGAACAATAAAATTTCGAGTGCTAAGCACTCAGGCTTTGGAATAAAAAGACATTTAAAATACAAACTACCCTCAAGAAGCTCAAAGCCTAATGGAAAAAAATATAAAGTATGTGATAAGTGCAATTTAAAATGTGTACAGAAACTTCAGTATTAATACTGCTGACTGAGTTGTTAACTCAGGTCGATGGACAATGGAAATGGGACATTCATTAATTCAGCAAATTTTACTGAGCAACTAGCATGTGCTGCACACTGTGGTAGGTACTAAGAATACAGATGTGAATTCAGTAGACAGAATCCCTGCAAGGCCTCATAGAAATGATCTTCTAGGTAAGGATACCAGCATTAAACAAAAATTATAGAAATAACTAGTTAAAAATGTGATAAATGTGAGGGAAAGAAAAGTCCTGGATGCTCAAAGGATATATAACAGAAGAGAGATGATGGAAAGATGGTGAGGGATGGAAGAAGATTGACAAGAAGTGGGTGATGCAAAAGGCAAGCTTTCTGAAGATGTAACACTTAAGCTGAGACCAAAAAAAAAGAAGAAAAGTCAGTCAGACATAAATGGAAGAGTTTTCCACACCATTAGGGAAAGAGAAGATAGAGCTTAACCCATGAGAAGTAAGCATGGACTAGATCACAGGCACCACATATGGAAGGACCCAGAAAGGGGACAATTAAGATGACAATAGACTGATAACCTTGTCCTTTTTATCATTATTACCACCACTGTTGTCATAATCACATTGGAACTTGAGAGAATGGTTCACCAATCTGATGTGAGGGAGGAATGATGGGATGAATTTCGGTCAGAAAAAAAATAACCATCAGAATAAGAATAGGAAAATCAACAAGAAAGAGTAACAGCTCACATAAACACTTCACATGCATTATCTCATTTACTACTCTCAATAAGACCTATAAGGGAGGAGGTCCTATTTATGATGAGGAAATTGAGATGTAGAGAGATTACTTGACCAAAATAACACAAGCTGTATACGGAACAGCTGAAATTTAAAACACTGTTCAATTATTGCTATGTAAAAGTGAATGGCAACTTTGGGAAAAACTTGTGCCAAAGATGTCACTGAGGATAAAAGGTGAAGCTCAAAAAGGTGAAAACTGCCATATGAAGGCACACATGCATCACCAATTTTGTCTTTTAAAATTTCTACTTAACATTTATAACCATTCAAATCATGACATATCAATAATGCAAACCAAAATTATATCAGTTTAACTGTCACATGCCTATTTGTACATAAAATCTATTACCAACTTCCAAACTGGTACATATAAAAAAAACACATAGCCTTTATGACTGTTAATATCACTAATTTCTAAACATAAACATCAAGCAGAAAAACACAAAACAATATAAGTGTTAAAAAGTTTTTAAAGACTTTTTACATTTTACTATGAAAAGCTCTTTCACAGTGGTCAAATAACTGAAAAACAGCAGTCATACTACTTGTCTCATAAGATTTCCACTATAGGAAAGCTATCTGATATGATTAAGGCATAAAAAGTAAACAAGATTCAAACTCATATCATTCAGGGGTTAACTGTAGTCAGCTTTCCAAAAGTTCACAAAACTTCCACTAAAAAACTTTATATAGTCATTATATTGCTTTTCCATGTCATTTTTGCATATACATACTTGTGTAAATACCTAATAATCTTGGTTCTTTTCCGTTACTAGTTTCATTTATTAGTAACTGAGTAGGTGCAGTTCTCAATTAAACATGTATATGCCTCATTAATTTCAATATAAGTCTTATTAGAGGATATGTCCAAAAGTTTATAAATCAACAGATAAGCATTTTTTCATATGAAATATTTCCAATTTTCCCAAAATACTGTATTCTTTCATTCAACAAATATTGAAAGCCTACTATAGACTACTGACTTTTCTAAATACTCAGGAAATAGAGCAGTAAACCATGCAGAAGAAACATTTCAGTTCTATGGATCTCATAGAGGAAAATGACAAATGAGCAGATATGTAATGAAGCAATTAAGAATTATGCCGAAAACTAAAGAGGATATAGGGTTAAGGATAAAATTACTTTTGGACATAACATGGGGGGGCACAGGGAAGGCAGTACAGCACAGAGAAGACAAGTAGTAACTCTACACCATCTTACTGCGCTGACGGACAGTGACTGTAATGGGGTATGTGGTGGGGACTTGATAATGGGGGTAATCTAGTAACCACAATGTTGCTCATGTGATTGTATATTAATGATACCAAAAAAAAAAGATTATGTTTGGTAGAAGTAATAAGGCAAGGCCTCTCTAAGAAAATAAATTTTGAGCAAAGACCTGGATGCAGCTACGGAATAAGCCATCTGGAGAAGGAATGCTCTAAATACAGGAAACAAACTTAATACGCAAGCAATCACAAGAAACCCATGTGACTAGAGCACAGTGAATGAAGTGGAGAATAGTTGTGGATGAGGTCAATAGAGGCAGTCAGAGTCCAAAGCTTGTAGCAAGATCTTGTAGGATGTACGATGATATATTCTACATCTACCTGATACCATCTGAAGAAAAAGCTGGGTTCTCAGAAGGAAGGATTTTGCAGTATGCTGACATATATATATGCAGTAATGATTCTACTATTCCTTCCTCCAAAAAGAGCAACAATTTATTTGAATAAAAAACTACACACTAAGGAAAGGGGAATACTTGAACATTTTGAGGTCTACTGAATATACAGGGTCCTAGGTGACACTGATAATTGATTGACTCAAAGCACCATGGACTTGAGAGAGTGAAGACAAATGGGAGCCAAGTAGTAACAGATTTCCAACCAAGGTCAAACATACCTTCAGTTCAAGAGGCCCACTAGTCCTAACAGTGACCATTTCCCCACTGTGCAAACACATAACAAGGATACATAGACTTGATGACTGATGGCATCATTCTACATTGGATCCTTGGTCTATAGATTATGAGCAGTTAATAGTGGGGAAGTCCAAGCAGAAGTCTCTAAAACTGCCCTCTACTCAACATAGTAAATCAAGTCAAATGGCAAAAATTAGTGCCACTCTTAAAGAGCTAAAGCAAGGATCAGCAAATTTTTTTAAGGGACAAGGTAGTATTTTAGGCTCAGGAGCCATGCAGTCTTTGCACAACCATTTAACTGCCTTTGAAGTACAAATGTAGCCAAAAATACACAAATAAGTGGACATGGCTGTATGAATGAACTTTTAAAAAACGGCATCTAGCCCATGGATTATAAATTTGCCAACCCCTGAACTAAAGGATTCAAGAGAAAATGTTACTCACCATTTTCTTATTTAATTCATCAATCTGGATTTTGCAGAAACCAGACAAATCCTAGAGGATGACTAACCTCAAAATCAACCAAAAAGTAGCCCCAATTCCATCTGCTATGCCAGATGTGTATCTTCCAGCTTCATGGTATAGGACCAGTAATTTGGTGAATACATTCTTTTCTAACCCTATTGGCAAAGAAGATCAGACAGCTCATAGTCACACAGAATAATATACATCTGTAGTTTTGTTTCAAGGCTGTATGGACTCTCCTACCCTCTGTACTAATATGATCTGTATCATATGGATATTCTGCAACACCTTGCTAAGTGACATCATGCTGACTGATGAGCAAGAAGTGACTAGCACACTGGAGGGGCCTTGTTAAGACACATGTACTCCAGAGTTTGGGACATATACAATATAAAGATTCAAGGGCACATTGAATCAGTAAAATTTTTAAGGTCAAAGACATTCCAGGACATCTCATCCAAAGTAAAGAATAAATTATTGCACCTTGCACTTCCCACCAGTAGGAAGGACACATGACACCTGGTAGGTCTGTTTAGGTTTTGGAGGCAGCAAATTCCACACCTGTTCTGGTACATGTATCAGGTGAAGTGACATTAAGGCAGGAAAGGGCCCTGAAGAAGCAGGGGTCATACAACCTAGCAGACTGTATAATATTAA